CTGAATGAGGTTGATCAGACTGCTGAATGTCTTTTCGGATTTAGGTTTCGGAAGCCACAGTACCTTAATCCATGTCCAGTTTGGCGGTAACTTGTTGATGAGGGTGATACAAATGATCTCCTCCTTGATGTCAGCATTACACTCGTCCAGTGCGTATTTCAGTCTCTTGAAGGTTGAAATGTTGTCGTCGACTGACTTATCTCTCCTGTATTCCCAGCTGAGGAAATTGCTCACGGCCACGAACTGTTGAGATTCGGTTTTCGCTCCGAACCTCTCTTGGAGTTTCTTCCAGATTGAGGCGGCCTGTGTGTACTCCAGATTTTCATAGAACAGATTAACCACGATGTTGCTGTGAATCGAGTTCAAGAGTACATACTTCGCGGCGAGATTTCCTCTGTTGTACTTTTCTTGTTGCTTCTTAGCTTCGGGATCAGGGCTCTTGTTCCCAACTAGCGTTCCTTCGACAACTTGCCATGCGTATGGAATCAGTTTCAGCGTAGTCGGGATCAGGGCTTTCCAGGATATGTAGTTCGAACCATCTTCATTCAACACGATCGCTGCAGTCTTTCCTCGTATGTCACTCAGGTTTGGCTCTTCAGACTCGGATGGTACGTCAGGTTTGGCGTCACCTCCACTCGGAGTGACTCCGCCAGCAGGGGTGTCACCACCTCCAGTAGCAGAACCCCCTCTGAGTTGTCTCCGCCTGCCATGAGTCCTCCGCCCGTGGTCACGAGGGCCAGAGGTTTTCCTCGGTGTCGGACATACTTCGGTTCCTAGGTACGACTGTGCGATAGACTCACGTGGAAGATTTCTGTGGGTTGTTGAGTGAGTCGTGGAGACGTTGTCCTCTTGCGAATGGTCCTCAGCGTCCTCGGAGAGTAGAGTATTTCGTGCTGATAACGAATGAAGGGAAATTTCGGTCGGTTTCTCCTGAGATGACGATGAGTACTCGAAGAGTTCGATGGGATGAGTAGGCACCTTTCGGACGGAACACAACAGACCAAAGAAATAATACCGTTATAGGATATTACTCCTCAAGTGAAGTCAGTCTTTATTGAAACTGTTTATATACATGATTGGGAAGGGTCAGTCCGGTGTTACACATCGGATAATGTGAAAAGCAATTATCGATATATAGAACGCGAGTAGAGCAATTTAAATATGCACCGCCACGGGCGAGTCGTTATTTACGATCTTGCTCAACTACTCGATGCTGTGAACCATGAGATAGGAAAATACGAAATAAAGTCAGTTAACCTGTAATTTCCATCAAGCCTAATTTCCATAGATTTTTTCTTGAAGCTGCCTCAAAACTCAAACCGCTGTCATGGAAGCTGGATGATAAGCTCGCTCAGAGCCGCGATAGGCCCCGCCATTTGAATTCGGTGCCATTTTCGTCGTTCACAGAGTTTGTTCACTCTGTGAAATTTCGCGATATCGAAAACCACGATTATAGAGACCGTACAACCTTGTAGAAGCTCTATTCGCTTCCGACGAGGATTCAGGTCATGTGAGGAAGAGATTACAGCAATGATATGACACGAAAAACATCGGGCGCACAGAACTTTCTCACAGTGAATACATCGAATGAATGGAGCTAATTTGCAATCTGACGTGGAACAATCCTCGGAGAAAGTGAGCAACATTTCTGACAGAGATGGGAACCCGACCCCGGGTACTTCGAAGCCCCCAAGTCGCCAACCGCATAGCCACATTGGCCGGAAGGCCGGGTGCTGGAAGTGATTGAATATTAACGAATGCAACCGTAGAATGTCATGCCTCTGGTCGATTCTGAAGTCGAAGAGAAGGCAATGTTCAGTGAGTCTCTTGGCGAAGTCCTTCCATCGTCTGAAGCTAGACTGATCCGTATCAAATATCTCATCCGGATCGTATTTCCCGTGTATCTCATCGACGTGAGCCAAGATGAGAGCCAGTGCTTCGTTTTCGATCTCTTTCCGCTCTCTCTGATGCTTGTAGGTGATGAACTTGACGATCTTCCGCGTTGAGACTCGATTGGTAGCTTTCCATCTTGCTATCCAACTATGGGAGGCTGTGAATAGGGTCAATCTGAGATCCCTGGCTTTTTGCAAAGCCCACATCCTAATTGTGCGGTCGTGAACGATACACCCATTCGCCCGTGCGGAGTCGAACATCTCCTTGCAGTATTTCGACACCTCGAGGAAGCGTCCTCGTTGAGTTCCCATCTGCTCTTTGTACTCTCTGAAGCGTTTGACGTAAGATTTGTCGAGAAGCCTAGGTCGCGGCTCTAGGTCACACTTCTGAGCGAGCTCATTCATACAGCTTCCATGACAGCGGTTTGAGTTTTGAGGCAGCTTACAGAGAAAATCTATGGAAAATAGGCTATTTCCAATGGAAAACCCAAAATGAAGGTGGTCGAGTTATTCGGTCAAAAGGGCCCACCTGCCGCAAGGACATATGGCGTTTTTCTAGACTCGAGTCGACCTTCAAATCCCGCACTATCTCGTCGAAATCGCGAGGGGGCAGTTCTGGTACGTCCCTTGTGAGTTCGAAAGAACTCAGACCGCAGTTGGAAAATGGGCAATGGGAATAAACGAGTATAAGGTCGCGACAGGGGCGCGCACAGGATTTTTTTTTCAGGAAATTTGATTCACAGAGGCCCCGCCGTCTTCATTCCGAAGAGCCTGAGACGAGAGATGCTCAAGATCAGTCACTCTAGTTACCACGGAGATCGTTTGCTCTGGAGGAGGGCACGTGACTGCATATTCTGGCCCGGTTTGAAACAACAACTCGGAGACTTCTGCAACAACTGCGAAGCATGCTTATCGTTCAGAAGCAAGCAAAGAAAACAGCCCATGATCGAAACAACCTCCGCCACCTACCCATTCCGGGTGGTATTCCGAGACCTGTTCGAGCTTCGGAAACTTCGATACCTGGTCACGGTTGACGTGTTCTCTGACTTCTTCGAAGTAGACAACCTAGGCGAAACAGCTTCAACCAAGAAGGTCATACAGGCGTCGAAGAGACACTTCTCGCGGTACGGGATCCCTGTGGAAGTTACACAGCGATAAGGGGCCCCAATTCGCCTCGGAAGAATTCAAAAACTTCATGACCTCTTGTAGTATCTCGCTCAAGGGAACGGCAAGGCAGAAGCAGCCGTGAAAATAGCTGAAAGGCTTCTGAAAAAATGCACAAAAAGCGAAGAGGATTACGAATATGGTTTCCTAGAAACGCGGAACGTTTCACACCCGGAGGGTGTGAGCCGAGCTCAGAAGTTCCTTGGCCGAGATCTACGATCGAAACTTCCGTCAGTAGTGGACGGAAATACGATCTCAAAAAAGCCAATATGAAGAAATACTACGATAAGGGAGCACGACCTCTGGAGCGTCTCTCCAGAGGGAACATAGTTCACATTCAGCCCTTGGAAAGACATGGAACCTGGAAGCGGGCAATCTGTCTGCGATGAACAAGTTGGCCCGAGATCATACAACGTCAAACTGGCAGACGGAACGATAACGAGAAGGAACCGTCTCCATCTCAGGCTGAGAAAAGAACGCGTCGCCCCCGAGAGGACAGAGCCCCGGACACCAGCAGAAACGGAGAACGCGCAAGCACGGAGCAACCTACCGGCTAGGTCAGCGAAATCAACTCTTCGCCCCGCAAAACTCAACCACGCAAACATTCCGAATCATGCCCCAAATTCGATCGAGCTAAGAGGAAGTTCGAGGGCGAAAAGAGCACCGGAACGACTCCGATACTGATACCAAAGCATGTAGGGTGGAAGGAGGACGTTTTAAGGTTGAAATTGTCATAGTAGTAGAGAACGGAAGAGGGAACTCCAGATCTCGAGGTCGGTCAGCTTTGCGATAGTTCAAGCGAGCTGATTGACGACGGCGGGAACATTAAGAGGAGTGTAGCAGCAAAACTCGCGAACGAAATAATGTGACGGCAGCCAAATCATTGTCAAGAGATAATTACAGTAATAATCTGAGAAATACTCTCATCTTGGAAAGAGAAATGTTGATGCATATTTCTTAAACCTTCGCGAGCCAGCACATGACGTACCGCTGTGACCGTAAATAAACAACGTCTTTTCCTAGTCATCGATCCGCGGGGTAGTCACTGATCTTAGGAAACCAGTATCTTTTACAGGTTCGATGACAGTAGAGATGTTCAAAATATTTCTGGCCATCAACTATGCGTCCGGCTCTGCTTTCAAGGGTCTCCGCAGTGTTATGCTGAAAGCTGTTGACGATAAGCCCCAGCTCACGGTCACGCAGCTGCGAGAGGTGGTAGTAAGCTACGACAAGCGTACTCGCGACTCAACGATTGATCCCTCGGACTCCGTCGTGGAAAGTTCTGCCGCTGTGAATAAAGTACAGCTCGCTGATCGCCAGAAACGGCTCTATTCGAAGCCATCTGGTCAGTCCGCGACTAAGAAGCAATATGCGGCAACGACTACGACCTGTTCGGGTTGCGGCGGATCGCACAATCGTCGCTCGTGCCGTTTCTCCGGAGCTACTTGTTTCTTCTGTCACAAGAAGGGGCATTTGAAGAAGGTGTGTAGCAACTTCCTCGAGAAACAGTCTTCCGACGCGATTAACCCCGGTACTGTAGACGTCAGCGAGGTGTCCGACTCAGATCGCAGTCGCGCTATCGTCTCCGTCTTCTTGAACGGAGTAACGGTCAGACTCCGTGTCGATACTGGAGCAGATTTATCCGTGATTGGCAAAGCTTTAAGGGGAAAGATCGGCTCGCCCAGGCTCCTTCCGATGATATCCAAGCGCACAGCTGCGAATGGTGAAGGTCTGGACATTTCAGGTTTCTTCACGGCCGATTACAAGCTCTCGGAAGATTCCGACTTCGTCGTCTCGGATCGGGTGATCGTTCTCCGAAGGAGGGAGGCGGCTTTGTTGGGTTGCCGTCCGATCTTCCAATTGGGTCTCCTCGTTCCTAACCAGTCACTTGAGATTTGCTCAACCGTGGAGGGGTCCAATGACTCGAGTAAGTGGAGGTCTCGGTATCCCGATGTGTTCAAGGAAGGACTAGGTCTTCGTTCCAAAGTTCGAGTGCGGCTGGATCTTAAAGAAGAGTCAAGACCTGTACATCTACGAGCCCGTCCGATTGCTGCTGCCTTCCGGGACGCTGTAGACAAAGAGCTGGATCGGCTGTTGGACCTGGGTGTGCTGTCAGCAGTCGAATCCTCGTCCTGGGCTTGTCCCATCGTTGTGGCTCGGAAAGCGAACGGGAAGATCCGAGTATGCGCAGATTATTCCACGGGTCTGAACGACGCACTCCAAGATGTCTCACAACCGATTCCAAATATGGAAGAGATGATGACCAAATTCTCTGGGAACAGGGTTTCCACCCAGTTGGACTCATACGATGCTTACCTTCAGCTCGAATTGGAAGCACCCAGTCGTGCCCTCACGACCATCAATACTCACAGGGGGCTGTTCCAATACAACCGTCTGGTATCCGGGCTCAAAACCGCTCCGGCGGTCTTCCAACGCGCCATGGACCAGGCTCTCACAGGTTTGGATGGCACGCTTGTGTACTTGGATGATATCCTGGTTATGGGCGCAAACAGCAAGAGCACGATCTCCGTCAGGGTTGCGTCCTCGCTAGGCTCCAAGACCGGGGATTCCGTCTCGGTTTAGCAAAGTGTCTCTTCAATTCTCGTGAGGTCGAGTATTTGGGTGTTATCGTCAATGAACAAGGTATCAAGGCTGACCCGCAGAAGATCTCCGCGATACAGAACTTGCGTCGCCCGGGAAACGTCTCAGAGGTTCGTTCGCTTCTTGGCCTAATCAATTATTACGGCGAATTCGTCGACCAACTTCATCGTTACAAAGCAGTTTCCGAAGCTCTACTCTCGAAGTCATCGATCTTCAAATAGTCCGCCGCGCATGAAAAGGCCCTCGATGATGTCAAGAATTTACTGTCAGGTCCTCTACTTTAAGCGCATTACGGTCCCCGACAGGGTCTAATCGAAGCCGCTGACGCCTGCAACACCGGAATCGGAGGAGTGTTGCTACAGCGTTATCCTGATGGTGTCGAGAGAGCAGTCTTCCACGCCTCGAAGTCCTTGACTTCAACACAGCGCAATTACAGCCGAATAGAGAAGGAGGCGCCAGCGTTGGTCTACACAGTCGAGCGCTTGGAGAAGTTCGTTTGGGGCCGACACTTCATCCTCCAAACGGATCATCGCCCGCTCTTGGCATAATTCCGCACGCCGCAAACCAAGGGGCTGAGTGAGCGCACCGCGGCAAGATTGCACCGCTTGGCTTTACGGCTCGTACGTTATGATTTCGACATCGAGTATATTCGTACGTCGGAATTCGGTCAAGCGGATGCCTTATCCAGGCTCATCGAAGAGACGAGAAGCGATGCGCAGAACTCTGGCATGGACGAGGTAATCGCGTCCTCGGAAGTTCATGAAACAGGGATCGAAGATGCCGTCTAAATAAACATCAGACACAGAAACTCTTCTGCCACACGCAACCCTGCGTCCTCATTCCTGAGAGCATCTGCTCTACGAGACCTCGACCTTCGGAGATCATCTGAACCCTGTGCCGAATAAACTCTGGACTCTGGACCGTGGACTCCTACCGACTGAGTACTCTCTCAGGGAGCCACCGCTGAGACTCCTCACGGAATCCCGACATTCGTTATCAGCACGAGTGAACTCTACAGGAAACTCCACACAATAGTTTAAATCGCCGAGGTGAGTCAAGAGGTCTCCAACGCGCTTGGGTGATGCAGCGCGACACCGCGATCACGCTATACTTCGATGGAAGCGATACTCCGAAGATCCGCTTCAACCCTGCCATGGTCCTCCGGACGGATAGCAAGAACTACCTCACTCGGAAAACATTGGCTCCCGGACTCCTCCAAGCTGAGAACTACGCATGGCAGGTAGTGAACAAAGAGATCAAGCCGGACAAGGATCTATATACTTACTAACAATAAGTGTGATACCGGAGATCGCAATGCCAGGACCGTCTTCTCAAACATCGTTCATCCAAACGTCATCCTCGAGCAGTTCTACGGAGAATCCGAAACCGTGAGTGCTGTAACCATGTTGAAAAATTTTAAGAAGCACTCAACCCGCAACGATGGAATTTTCAAGGAACAGGCTCTCGATATGTGGCTTACTTAGCTACGAGTACAGTGAGTCCCAGGCTGTAACCGAGAACATGCTCCGGTACTAGAGGACCACGTTCGGTCTCGTCGAAGTTGGACTGGTACTGTACCAACAGGTCCTCATATCCAAGATGGTGAGGGCCCTACCGAACTCGTGGTCATAGTTCAAACAAGCTTGGACTACTAGATCCCCAGATGACAAGACTCTGGAAAATCTGCTCAGCCTCATCCGCTCGTCTGAAAAACAAGAGCGGCGACATTAACGATGTAACAGTGCTCATGGCAAGGACAAATCTGACCATACGAAGTCGACGACCTATGAGGCAGCAATAAAAACGACAGGATACAAACTTGCGAAAAATGCAGTCTTACTCCCGCACCACGGAGTTACGCTATTGGACATGTAATGGAGAGGGACATTCCTCAAGGTACTGCAACAAAAGAGTCCTCCGCGAAAAACCCAAGCGAAAACCTCACAGGTGCAATTTGTTGTCGACTCCGGCAGCTCTCATCACGTGCTCAACGACCAGAGCTTCTTCACGGAACTGAACTCTGCGACGACATCTCGAGAAGTGAAGCTTGGCATCAACAGTACCCTTACGGCACAAGGGTTTGGTGACGCCTTGCTGACTGTCTGCTGAGAAAACAAGTCCGTGAACATCAAGCTTTGTGACGCTCTCGATGTTCCGAAAATGAATACAAACCTCATCTCTGTTACCAAATTGACAGAAAATGGTTACAAGGTTTCAAGGCTCACGACGCTTTAGCGCACTCAAATAAACGGAAAATCAAGGAAACCCTGGACCGTGAGGGAATCGAGTATGAGGACGACTTCTTCAACTGTGAATTATGTCAACAAGGAAAACAGCATCGGAGCACCTACCGAACCAAACCCACAGATTGCAGAGCCAAAAGACCAGGATACATCCAGGGCGACTTGTGCTCACCCGCACAACGCTCTCTAACGAGGTTCAATCATTTCATGTGCCTGACAGAGGACTTCAGTCGTTTCCGACGAGTGTACTTCCTCAAAACAGAGGAGCAAACAGCAAGAGCCATCAGACAATACACTCGATGGTTCCGTAATTATGACATCGACCGGTTACACACGAACAATGGTAGTGAGTACTTCAACGCCACTGTTACCAAAATTATTACTGACCTCGGAGCGGATCATACAGCCTCAAACCCAAGGACTCCGGCTCAGAATGGTATGGCAGAACGAAGTAATCGAACTCTAGTGGAATTAGCAAGAACCATCCTCATAGACTCCAAACTACCCAAGTCCCTGTGCCAGAAGCAATTAGCTATAGTGCAAATGTCTTTAATGCCGTGACAATCAACTCTGTCACAAATCAATCAGCTTACGAAATTTTCCATGGTAAAAAGCCTTTCTTCGAAAGATTCTGACCGTTTGGCGCTCCATGCACGTAAGTTCGATTGGAACCCACAAGAAAGTGTTGAAATCTGTCTTTCCCGTGTTCGTTGTCACTACGCTTAGCTAGACTCCTACGCAGTCTTGCTTCCCTTTCTCTTACTTCAGTGTACGTATATATTACGCGTTCCGCTTCAATAAAGTTTACTGGGCATAGTCTGATGCTCTGGAGCTGTCATTACTATCTTTTGTGTACCCGAAAAGTGAATACGTTATCAGCGACGATCTGTTCTACCATCCAACTTGGTGAGAAACAAGTAAGTCGACTAAGTATTTCAAACTTGGAAGTACGAGACTATCATGGAAAGCTCGTGTAGGATTCATATCTAGCGCCATCCTGACAGCGCCATCTGGCTTCGCGCCCAATTGTGGAAACAATAATAAACCCCAGTTCCGGTAACGAACTCAAGTATCCGCGTCATCATCTGCATGGTGTCATCAGAAGTGGCTTAAAAAGTGAAAATGACGGCCCCAACAGGAGCAGCGGCGGCCGCATCGACTTCTGCGGCGATGACATCCGTCGCAACGATATCAACGCCGGTGTTCAACGTTTCACCGCCGCCACCGTTCGTCGTCGATGGAGTCGACATAAGCACCGATTGGGACGATTTTAAGCAAGAATACGAGATATTCGAAACGGTGACGCAGGTGACATCTCAAACACCGACGCTACAAAAAGCGACATTCCTCTCATGCTTAGGAATCGAGGCTAGAAAACTGCTCAAAGGTCAAGGCGTGGACGTGAAGTCGCTGACGAAGCAACAAATTCTCGAGAAAATCGATGACAAGTGTTCGAAAAAGTCTTCGAAGACGCTCAAAGATTTTCAGTTCTGGTGTTCCGAAATGAATCAGGCGGAAGGTGAGCAATTCGACAAGTATCTCGGACGGGTGAGCAGAGCGGCAATGGTATGCAACTTTGAGGACCGGACCGAGAACATTGTTGATCGTCTCATCCGAAGCCGGATAATCATCGGAATCCTTGACAAGAACCTACAGCGATCGCTCCTCACGAAAGACGCGAACCTAGACGCGGTGATGGAGAAATGTCAAGCGGCAGAAGCGAGCTCAAAGGGACAAGCAAAAATGAGAAAAGAAACCCCGGAAGAAGCTAAAATCGCCGGCGTTTTCAAACCGCAGCGGCGGGGTGCGAGAGAGGACGCCGACCGGAGAGAAGGAGGCGAGCGGAGGCGCAAAACAAACAAAAATGGCGACGATCAGCGTAAATCGAACGCGTGTTACAGTTGCGGCCTGCCAAATCATATCGCGAGACATTGCCGGAATGCAGGTGTCAACAGAAGAAAGAGGGTGTACATGGTACAGCAGCGAACAGGGAAGCGATGAAAGTAGAGACTGTGTCGGGAGTCGTCGGACGACGAACATTCTCCGTGAATGCGATTCGCAGCCGACCGGTCGGAGCTGTCGACGGCGCCGCTAAAGAGAATGCCGCTACACGAAACAATCAAGCAGCTATCGAGGTCTGCACATTCGAAGTGGAAGGAGATAGTCAGGATAGGAGGTGAAAGAGTTGTCGTGGCAATAGATACGGGGGCGGAATGTTGTTTGTTGCCCAAGTGTCTCGTCGACGAGCTTCTCAAAACGAACAGATCGGCGAAGTTGCACAGTTCGAAGACCAAACTAATCTCCTACTTTAACGACGAGCACATGACGACCGAGTGTGTTCACCTTCCAATCGCGTACAAGTCACAGGAATTGGTGGAAAAATTCTTTGTGGTGACTTCGAGTCTGCTGCCGACCATCAGCGGCGACACAGCCGAAGCACTGGGTCTGATCCGACGAGTCCCGAGCAGTAAGTGAGGATAAAGACAAAACCAGGTGGATGGAACGCTTTCCCGAAGTGTTCAGAGGGCCCGGCACGATAAGAGGAGCTGAGGTGAAGTTGAAGTTAAAGGAAAACTACGTCCCGGTGGTGAATCCGTGCAGAAAAATTCCAGTCTCGCAGGAGAAGGCCGTGAAAGAAGAAATCGCGAGAATGATCAAGAACGGGGTCGTTGCAAAAGTGAACACGCCGACGGAGTTTGTCAGCAATATTGTGGTGGTTCCGAAGGCTCACGGCCGGATCAGACTTTGTCTCGACCCCCAGCATCTCAACAAGGCGCTCCAGCGTGGGCCACACCCCACAAAGCGGCTGGAGCAGATCCAATGTAAGATGGCTAAGGCTGCATATTTCACGACGCTCGATGCAGATGAAAGCTTCTGGCAGCTCAAGCTGGAGACGGCTTCATCATATCTGTGCACATTCATCACCCCGTTCGGCCGGTATAGATTTCTGAAGGTTCCCTACGGAATAACGACAGCAAGCGACGAATTTCAGAGAGTCACGGACGAGACCTTCGGCGACATGGACGGCGTGATCCCTTACATCGATGACATAATAATCTGGGGTGAGACAAAGGAACAGCAACAGGAACGGGTTGAGGGAGTGCTGCAGCGATGCCGAGAAATCGGTCTTGTCCTCAACCCGAGTAAATGTCATTTCAACAAGACGTCGGTGAGGTATCTCGGGCACATTGTTAGCAGAAATGGATTCCGAATAGACCCTGACAGAATCGAGCATATCCAGGCCTTCGAGACACCGAGTGATAAGAAAGAGCTTCAACGTTTTCTTGGCGTTGTCAATTTCGTTG